AGTCGATGCATAATTACTTCGTTAAAATGCCGCTTTTCCTTTTCTTTTTTTTCCTGATTCTAGTAACGTGAGATTGCCTGACTGTGACAGCGACATTAATTTGCACATGAACCCCACACATTGTGACGGCAGTCAACCAATAGCATTTGGCTAGCTGAGTGATGTTTTATATAAGGACGAGATGCAGCACGAAAGAAGCATCAGACCACAGGTAAGACGGATAGAAATTGGGCATATTTTTGGGGCATTCATCCAAAGCCAAGTGGCACAGGCATAGTTGGCACCGGGTAAACTAAACTAATACTAATTAATGTGTATTACAAACATGTTAGTGACCACATCCCCGTCTGGCGTGTCTAAATTAGAATGCATGACTTTTTGTGGGAACTTGTTTTCTCAGCTAGTAATTGACACGGGTAGTGTGTTTTTGGCTGGTCAACATTACAGATAACCATATGAGCCTGATGTAAGTGACCAAACATGCTTGTACCTATATACTTAACTGCGTCAAGATGACAAGCTGACAAGGTGGTTTCACCTGCAAACTATGTCCTGTGAGCCCTGTTGATCGAATCGCCCTCACGTCCCATTTACAGGTGCCAATTATACAAACTCAACTACAAATGGGCCTTTCTATCACGAAGCTGTGGGGAATGTTGTTCAATACTCAGAAGGAGGCTCGAATCCTCATGGTTGGTCTGGACGCGGCTGGCAAAACAACAATCCTCTATCGACTGAAGCTCGGCGAGACGGCTGTCACCATCCCCACCATCGGCTTCAACGTGGAGACTGTGTCCTACAAGAATGTCACATTCACGGTTTGGGATGTCGGTGGTCAGGAGGTGATCAGACCGCTCTGGCGGTACTACTTCAATGGAACCAACGGTAGGCGCACCTGATGCAGCAGAACCTATCCTTCTGCGCTTAATTGAATCATCTAATCGGTGTTTACCCTTGTGCAGGAATCATATTCGTCGTTGACTCCCTCGACCGGGATCGCCTAGGAGAGGCTCGACGGGAACTGGATAGGCTACTAGCGGACGACCTATTAAGGGATGCACATCTCCTCGTTTTTGCCAATAAGCAGGTCGGTTTGGTGTTGGTTTATGTGGTTGATATATTTCATCATGTTAGACTGGGATTTCTCGCCTGGTCGGTCAAAGAAGTGGGTCATATTGCTGACTGCCATGCATACTAAGCTTCCACTACTGCTGGAGCAAGCATCGATGTCTGTGGGGCCCACTTTGGCTTTTCGTTGAAAAGAATGCAATCAATTTGCACACGAGCCATGTGACTAGATATTTTCTTTACAAGACGCATCACCTGATGTGGTTTCAACAAGCAGACACGGCGTTTGGCTGGTGCATTCCGTGTGAACCCTGAACCCTTGCCAATTGCCTCAATTTTTGCAGGACCTGCCCTGTGCAATGACTGCCAACGAGGTGGCTGAGGGTCTGGGACTCCAGAAGATTGCAGCCAGGCGAAAGTGGTTTGTTCAAGCGACGTGTGCAGTGAATGGTTCAGGCATCCTCGAGGGACTGGATTGGTTGTGTCATGAAGTCGTTCAGTCAAATCGGTGACGTTGAACTAGT